GAATAGAATAGAATAGAATAGAATAGAAGAAAGAGAATAGAATAGAATAGAATAGAATAGAATAGAATAAGAATAGAATAGAATAGAACAGAATACCTTTATTGTCATTGCATTCCACGAATACAATGAAATTTGAAAGCTACTCCAGCACAGTGTCCCAAACACATCACAATCACACTACAGAGTATTTAATAACAACAACAACAACAATAATAATAAACCCAGTCTAAAACCTATCTAAAACATTTAGTAAGTTAAATAGTTTAAAAATGCTACTATAAAGAAGCTTCTTGGATGAGAAGCGAAACGTCTTCTAAAGTAAAACAAGAAAGGCTAGTTGCCTCTTGAAAAAAGCACCTTTGGGACCATTCTAATCAGTGCTTATGGCCTCTGATCAGATTTTACACAGTTTCCCCGTCAGCCATTCATTCTTTGATAAAACCATCCTCTCAAGGAGGAGGGAAATTCAGACGATTCCACAAATTCTGGTCTCTTGGGGTAGAATTGAACCCCACCAGGAAGGAAAATTGCATTTCAGAGGAGGGAAAAAGTCTTCTTCGAACATCAGCACCTCTTTGTTTCGCAAGTTTCGTTGTTTCTGAACACACGGGATTATGCGTGCTATCAATGCCCTGTGTTTTATTTTTTTAAAAATTCTGCTTTCGCTTCTGTTATTTGCTGGACTTAAGCCTGGAGTGGGGAGAAAAATCTACAAAACTCAGCTTTTTGTCAAGGAAATTTAAATGGCATTTAATTCCGTTGTACGAGGTGCGATGACAATAAGCTAAATTAAATTAAACTTAAAAAAAGTATACAATAGAATACTTTATTGGCCAAGTGTGATTGGACACACAAGGAATTTGTCTTGGTATTTGGAATTTGTCTCTCAGTACACATAAAAGAAAAGATACCAGAAGAGAATCATAAAGCACGATACTTAATGATAGTCATAGGGTACAAATAAGCAATCAGAGAATGGAAGGAGACTGGCCACCTTTACAGAAATGTTTCTTCATTCAGCTCTGGAATTTTTTTCTCAATTTCCAGATGTAAGAATATGGAGGAAGGGGGGAAATCTGTCTAATTTCAACCATCATCATCATTTGGTGGAATTATCTCCTGCCTACCCGTTTGTGCTGTTATGTCACAAGTATCCCCTGGGGTCGGTCCTGCTCCTGGATTCTCATTCCTCAAACAGCTGATGCTGACACTTGTCTCCAATCTCATTGGCTTGGGAGAGAGTTTTTCCCAGATCCCGTCACCTGGCACGGCTCAGGGAGGGCTTTTATAAAAGGAGAGGCGGCAACCGGGGCAGAATATACTGAAGCTAGTCTGCCTCGCAGCTTCTCTCTCGCAGCTTCCCGAAATTGATCCATCATGCCAATGGTGGGCAGGTTTGTTGCGGTGCTTCTGCTGACCTGGAGTATGTGTGCAGCTGCTCTGCCGGGGGAAGAAAACTTTTCTGCACAGACCAGCAAGGTAAGGTTTTTTTGGGGGTGGGGAATAAATTGACATTCCCCTGATATTGGAGAAAAGGGGGTTTTTTTAAGGAAAGCGGGCTTTACAAAGAATAATGGAATAGTCAGTGCTTCTGGCTGGAGGGACATCGGAGCATGAAAAATATTTTTTTTTTTCATAATAAGGGGTGTGCATTAGGCGGTCCCCGTGAAGGAATCAGAGACGAAGAAAGACAAACTTTTCGTTGGAAACAGGAGGGTGGATTGCAAATGGGGGAGGTTTCTTCCACTTTCTGGAAAGGGAGGCTTTTCCAAGTTCTCTCTCTGCAGAAAGAATTTCCTGGAATTTCCTGGATTTCCGCCCATGTGCGTTCAGATCAGATCCGGCAGTGTTTAGCTTTCCAAGCTACGCTCAGACAACGAATAGAATTCCCTTGGGAGGATGAAGTCCCTTGCGAACGCCGTGGACCTGTTAATTTCTACTGTGCTTTCCTTATTACAGCTAGTCCTCGACTTACAACAGTTCGTTTAGTGGCCCTTTTGAAGTAACGACGGCACTGAAAAAACCTGACTTTAGGACGGTTTTTCAGACTTACGATCTTAGTATAACCCTACGTTCCTGAGATCAAAATTCAGACCCTTGGCAATTGACTCGTATTTTATGACCGTTGTTGCGTCCTGCGGGGTCATTTTTGGCGACCTTCTGAGGAGCGATGTCAGCGGGGAAGCCAGAAGTAAGGTCTTGAAGTGGGGTGAAACTGACTCAGCCCTCAAACTGACTTAACCATGTTTCGCTTAGCCATCAAAATTTTGGGCTTCACTGGGATTGTAAGTCATGGGCTACCTGTATAAATAGGAAGGGGGGGTCTGTCTTGAAAATCTAAAATTGGATGTGATTTACCTGTATAAATAGGAAAGGGGGTCTGTCTTGAAAATCTAAAATTGGATGTGATTATCACAATCTCTATGTGAATTCCCCTGGGTTTCCCCCCCCCCCCCCCCCCTAAAAGAAAATTTTTCTTGCAAGGATGAAAAAAAAAATCTCACTGTCCCTTATCTGCTTTTCTCTCCCTTTCTCCTGCCTCCTTCACGACCATAAGGAGCAATCCAAAGCTCAGAAAATCCTCGTTCTGAAAATGCTAGCAGGGCTCCTAAACGGAGTCGACGCAGATCACGAGGCAGCGGCTTTCGCCGATTTCCAAGATCCTCTAGAAAGAAAGCTGGAGGAAGAGCCCTTGATGCTGGGGCACTCACCACACCTCCGCCCTCGAGACCGCAAAACTCCGTGTAAAAACTTCTTTTGGAAAACCTTCACTGCCTGCTAACAAACCCTCCAAGGCCTTGCGGGCATCCGGAGCTGTTCTCGCTGTATATGTTGGGCCAGAAGAAAAAATAAATCACCGCCTGTGTGGTTCCTGCCCGATCAGATGAGCCTCCATCTGCAGGCAGGGTGGTGGGTGGGGAGGGGGCTTTCTCATCCCATTTTGCAACCTAAGTAAGCCGACGCCTCTTTGCCAAACGCTGCAAGTTGGATGGGAGGGTTGAAGGCGAAGGACTGGGTCAGTTTGCTGCGAATCACTTCCCACTCCCTGAGTCTTGCTAAGCTGTGGCCAGCGATCTCTTTGCCTTTTGTGGTGTTTCCCCTTTTCTCGTTTTCTGGCTTTTCTCCTTTTCCTCATCAAAGCACAAACTCTGATTTTGTGATTATTTAATTGACAAATAAAGCATGGCCTGAGGACATTGGGCTGCACAGTCTTATGTTTATTTTCCGGTCTCTCTCTTTCTGTCTCTCTCTCTCTCTCTCTTTCTTTCCCATCTCTCTCTTTCTCGTTCTCTGTTTCTCATTTTCTCTCTCATCCTCTTTTTCTTTCTTTCTCTCATTCTCTCTGTTTCTCATTCTCTTTCTTTCTCATTCTGTTTCTCATTTTCTCTTTTTCATTCTCCCTCTTTTATTTTCTTTATTTCTTATTCTCTTTCTCATTCTCTCTCCCTTTCTTTCTTTCCCATCTCTCTTTGTCATTCTGTTTCTCATTCTCCCTTTCTTTATCATTCTTTTTCTCATTCTCTCTCTTTCTCATTCTGTTTCTCATTTTCTCTCTCTTTTTCATTCTTTATTTTCTGTTTCTCATTCTCTCTTTCTCATTCCCTCTTTCTCATTCTCTCTCTCTCTCTCTCTCTGTGTGTGTGTGTGTGTGTGTGTCTTTCTCTCTCTTTCAAAAACAAGGGGGAGGGCAGCTCCTGATTTTAATCACGGAAAAAACTTCATGGATGGAGAAAACATCAAATGCTAAGAAGAGTTGATGCCTGAGGCAATGGATATGGCTAGAGCTGCAGATAGATATTATGGCATCTCACAATTTGTGCAAATGCCCCTTAAAGCCCTTTTGAGGTTGGGAGTTGCATGGGAAACAAGTTGCTGATAAAACTACTAGGCACTCTCTGGTTAGTACAGATAACATGTGGATGCCACTAGCTCTGAGACAGAGTAATAATGGGAGGTTGAGGTGTTATCAGTCAGAGTCAAAGCAACCAAGGTCACGCCTCCTTAGCTTTGCTCAAAATCTGATTGACTTCTGGAGCAATGTTTGGGGTGAAAAGGAAGCATCAATGCTCCAATCCATACCTCAGTGATAATTCCACCCACAAACTTTTTTCAACTACACCCCTCAAGCTGCATCCTCCCAAATCCAGCTTTTTGCCCTGAGAGCTAATATCCCATAGCATTAACTTCCAATTCTCTACCAGCAACAAACGAGTGACAGGCCGTTTTTCCCTTTGGTTAACCTTCGGCACCATGTTAGCTGCAACTTTTGTAAAAAAAAAACAAAAAAAAACCCTCAGGAATCAGTTTTGGGATGGGATTTCGCTTTCACCTCTTGCAGGTTGCAAGCGCGAACCAACAAACGAGCAGCCAACTTTGTAAAAATTCAGAACACTACTTTTTATGCAAATTGGGCAACCCAGAAGAAAAATTAGATACACCACCATGCCAAACTGGGAGAGAGGAAACCAGCCAGCGGTGAACGTGCTTGCATGGAGAGCACTGATTGTGTTTACAGGATGGGCCTCCCTATGGCTAAGCATTCGGTGATTTGCTCAAGTGGCCTCATGTGGAGGGCTTGCGTTGTGCACGGAATACAAACTAGGCACAGAAGCTTTGACAACACCTTAATGGTGCAGTCTGTGCTGCAGGGTCTTGTGGGACCGTATCCCTTCCTGCTAGATTCATGGCGAGCAGTGGTGTGGGCGTGGCTTGGTGGGTGTGGCAGGGGAAAGGATACTGCAAAATCCTCCCCACCCCACGAACCTGCTTTCCAGCTCCGTTCTCCTGGGCAGGGCAACCAAAGGAGATCCAGCCCATTAGCTGGGAGGCAGCGAATAGATCAATTGGATACCCCAATCTTACAAGATAGGCCACACTGCAGCCCCCTGGGAGCCAAAATGTGTCAGAGTATATTCATGAACTGGGATGGAGGTTGGTAACGAGGTCAGCCAGTGAATAGGGACAGCAACTAAGTCAGCCAATGAGGACTGTTTGGAAACCGAAACTAAAGTAGCCTAGGCGTGGCTCTGTATTAAGCTCTGCAGCTCTGAAGCTACGTTGAGCTCTGAGCCTGTCTGTTGAAGATGAAACTAGCTGGCTTGCCTGCCGAACTAAAGTGAAACTGATGCCTTGTTTCTGAGCTGCTGAAGTTGCTGCCGAAGCTCTGAACTTGCAACACGCTTCTGTCCGAGTTTGCTCCATGTCGGAGAAATCTACAGCTGGTTTGTAAGATCTACTTATTATGTTCATAAAGAGGTTAAAGGAAGCACCAGCCATCTGCGTTTAATTTTTCTGGCGCTGAATTAACGCTGCAAAACTCTGAACAAAACGGTGCGTGTGGAGAATCCTGGATGCGGGTGGATGGGGCCAGTCAGAGGTAGTATTTGCCGTTTCTCTGAACTGGTCATAATTTTGGCTACCGGTCCATCAGAACCAGTCCGAACCGGCTGAAGACTACCTCGGATGGCGAGCCCTTCCATGCAGCACCTTCTCAAGAACATTAACAGTCAGGGAGAGGAAGATCAATTAGGAGGCTGGCTGTCTCTCCCTTGTCTTGGGCAATTCCAGCATTCTTGGTTGTCGTTGTAACTCCACTCTTCAGGGAGAAAAGCACGCACAGGGGCAGCTTGCTGTGAGTAAGAGCTGTTGGGCCCAGGGGACCTGGTGGTGGGGGAGAGAAGACACCGAAAGAAGGCGAATCAAAGAACAGTCTTCGTTTTTATTCCGTTTTTGCTTCTTCCACTGAATCATAGATGCTTAACGGAGCAGAGCACAAATTAACAGCCAGCCTTTAAACAGGAAGAAGTCACCGTGAGTAAAAAGCCAAGTTATTTTTTTTCTTTGCTTCAATAGGAAGTACCCACTGTCCAAACCGTCCTAAATGAAGAAGACAAAGTGCACAACTATCCGAGTAAAACACACAAGAACCGACAGCCAATACAAGCCTTCCCCTTATGCAACATCTCTGTGAAGGCCACCATTCCCAAATTTATGGGGCTATTAGCCCGAAAGATGAGGTTTCTGCTTCCATGTTGGCTACTTGATCTGTCACTAAACAGGGAGAAGAGCCACAATTCCTGTAAATGCCAGAGTCAAAAAAAAAAAAAATTACATAAATTAATAAATAACACCCCACCAAAAGAAAGCTGGGCAAAATATACCTATAATTTCATAAACTGGCGTTAAACAATATGCACCGAAATACATGATGCAGGCAATAAAATTAGAATTTGCAAGAGATATAATGACCCACACAGGGCTAATTTAAATCCAGGCACTTCAGGTTTACTTTAGCAAAAAAAAGCGAGGAGGCTCAGAACTGAAAATCCCACCAGGCTGGTGACATTTTTTTACAAGAGAACTTCCTTTCCAGGCTGGGCCCCTCAACTTCCCTAATGGAATAATAATGGCCAACTCGTACCTAGAAATACAAATCAATCAATCTTAATTCTTCCCTTCCAGAAAATATTTTTTTTTTCCTTTTATTTTAAACACGTAACGCTGGTCATTTTTTCCACCTGTTTTTCATTGCGGTAAATAGATGTGACTTCATCACATTCTCATCTGCCCGAAATAATTGTCAGAATATTTCAAACAGAGAAATTGTGGCAGAAAACTTAAAACCTGCCTTCCAGGTTTCTGAGTTCGGTAAAATGAGGACCTGGATGGTTGGGGGCAAGAGGCTGACTCTGTAAACCACTCAAGAGAGGGCTGTGAAGCACTGTGAAGCGGCATATAAGTCTAAGTGCTATTCCTTCCTTCCTCCCTCCCTTCTTTCCTTTCCTTTCTAGTGGTTAGAATGCAGTATTGCAGGCTAACTCTGCCCACTGCCATCAGTTCGATCCAGACCGGCTCAAGGTTGACTCAACCTTCCATCCTTCCCAGGTGGATAAAACGAAGACCCAGGTTGTTGGGGATAATAGGCTGACTCTGTAAACTGCTTAGAGAGGGCTGTGAAACGCTGTGAAGCGGCATATAAGTCTAAGGGCTATTGCCACCTGTGCTTGCGCAGCAGTAATCACCAAAATTGATGAATTGAAGATGGATTCTGTGGCTCTCCATGCACAGTAGGTACCTAATTTTTTTTTCCTCCCCTGGCCAGAGATTCTCCATGTAATTGAAAAGTCCCATGAAAAGAATCGAAGAGCTAGAAGCACGTGGTATTTACTATCAGGGGGTGAGGGTGACCATTTAAAAAAAAAAAAAAAGGCAAGAGGAAAATTATCCTCCTTCATCCCTGCCATTGACAGGGGCTTAATTTCCTGCCCACCCGCTAGGCTGAATTTAACAGGGCTGCAAGAGCCAGAAATTGCCTCTGATGAATTGGTCGTGAAGTCTGCCTCCTGGGCTGCCACGCCAAGGGATGAGCCATTATTCTTCCAATTTAGCTCACAGATGTCTTTTAATAGGTATTACGACTCTCCATATGGGGCTCTCTTCACAGCACGCAGGGCAGCTGTCCGGCCTCACCTTTTACACCCACCTTCCGAGGGCCGGCTAATCAGAATGAATGAGCCGTTTTCTTCCACCCCAAATGGCGGGCGGATGGGTTCAACATGCTTTTTTTTTTTTTTTTTGCTCAATTGATCAGCTACTTTGAAAGGTGCGTCGTCCTGGTGAGGGTATCTTTTTTTATGAAAACAAAAAATGCCAAACACTAAATGTCCTTGGGAGATTTTCTGGACAAGTTTTGCTTTTGAGAAGGATGTGACCTGTCAGAATTGGGGGGTGGGGTGGATCTTTTTGGGAGGTGGTGGAGGGAAATCCGTGAAAAACTCAACG